CTTTTATTTGTTTTAATATATTTAAAATGGAAAATCACAAAAAGAAAATACACGTCTTTCATTTGTTTCCGATCAAATTAACGTTATGAATAATTGAATTAATTGTTAAATATTAGTACTCATGAGAACGATATCCGGATTCATAGGCCCACTTTATTACTTGTTACGATCCGTACACTTGTAAGATATAAAAATTGACAATAATTCAATTTGTCCAAATCATTGTGAAAAGACTATGATAACTAGTAGTGTTGAACATGATTATAAACAAGAGTTCGCTTATTTTTCTTATTTACTTCCCGTTTTGTGGAAATTAAAATCAGATTATTAGTAAATTTTGATAAAAGTTAATGAAATGTATGGTTAAAAAGTTGTGGATCCTATGAAATATGTGATTGAAATTAATTGTTGACTTTGACTTTAATAAAAAATTTAGATTATAATTTCTATGAAACATGGGCTTAATATGATCGCGTCGAATAATTTGATGAGTGGCAAACTAATTACAGTTTAAATCACCAATCAAATCTTGACAACAAGGATGATGTCAAGCATGATACAAAAATGTGATATACAAGTGACTTTATCCTAATTAATAAGTGAATAACACATATTCGCGATTGAACTATAAACATTACTTTAACCCTCTTGACTCAAATCATACCTTTAATAAGTTTACAGATTAGAAGAGGGGGATTTCAATATAATGGGCTTCACTAGCACAACTAGAACTATTTAGGGAACATGACCACATGTAGTGAGGAATATGCAATCAATTATGAAAACAAATCCTAAAGCAGAATGAAAAAAAATAAAAAAAAAAGGATAATATTGACACTAGAATAAACAACTCTGTTTCCCCGCCCTCAGTTGATAAGATAAAAACTTTCCACTCATGATGTGACAAAAGAAAAACCTCCAACTGGAGGCAGGAGATCAATTTCTTTGGAACAAAACCATTTGACCATGGGGAAAGCATGTATAATAGAGAGAGGGGGGTTTACTTCGTTTGTTCATTTGTTCAAGTCTTGGAGTTCAGTGTTTGTCGAGTAATAAAAGAAATTTATTTTCTTTTTTACTATGATAAACTAATCTTGAAAATAATGTTAATCACTCACAATCCCCAATTTCTTGTGTCACGAAGAGCCACCAACATTTAAACCTACCAATCTAAGCCCTACTGTTCACGGAAAAATGTTTCAGATTTAAATCACCGCAAGTGCATGGTTCGTTGACAAGTAATAAAGTGTAAATTCAAGAATTTCGAGTATTATTCCCACGAGTATTGATTTAACTTGATTTCTATTATCGCGACCTTAATCGAAACTATTAAATTCAATATGATTATTTTTGTGA